GCTTCGTGAATGAGACATATTAGCGATTTGACTAACTAGTCTTATACATATAATATATTAAACTTTTAATCATATATAATATAAGGTGTATTTTAAAACTTTTCAAAATACTAAGGTTTAAAATTAATTTTCAAATTAAACAATTAATAATTAATTAATTTTAAACTAAATGATGATTTAATCTTTAATCTTAATTAAACGATTAATTAAATAAATTTAAATCATATGGATTAAAGAATTATTTACCAATTAAACAATTAATTAAATAATTCAAATTTAATCCTAATCCCTTAGCCTTCTAATTTTCGAAAAAAAGATAAGGGTTACCAAGTTTTAATTATCCAATTTTTAAGGCATTTAAATTTGTAATTCAGGAAATTAGAAACCCTAAGGGATCCTCCCATATTTTCGAAAATAAGGGTGGAGGCTAGGGTTTCAAGAATCCTATCCATTATCGAAATTTTGAGCATTTAGGGTTTAGTTTCCATAAACCCTGATTTTGATCAATTCATTTTAGTGCACAATCAAATAGAAAACTAAGGCTCTGATACCACTGATGGGTTTTCTAGGTTAAAAAAATTTGTGTGGTAAAAAAACTCTTAAGCCCTTAAATTCACATGCAACCTAGAAAAGATCTATGTTTTCTCTATTGATAGCAACTAACTATGAATATCAATAAACCCTAGGAAACTCTAGTATAATCAAAATTACAAAATGTTTAGGGTTACATACCTTTTTGATTTGTGTCTTGGTATTTCCCCAATGACATTATGAACTATAAGGCAATCCTATGTAGTCGAAGTTTATTTGGTCCTTTTGTCTTAACTGAGGAAGTAATTATGTTTGGGGTCCTTAGATGACTTGGCGTTGACAATCAAATGTTTGGCCGAGCTGAGACTTGGTTGGTCATATCAACTGTCAGTTTGATAAGCTCATCACAAATCTCAATCTGGAAACACGATCTTGAACTTTGAGATTGACTCATTATCCATGACTCAGGTTCATATAGATATCATGAAGAGCAAAGAAATATAAAATCACTAGTCTAAGGGATGTGTTATATGCAAGGTTATGATCAACACGGTAGTTACATTGGATGACACACTCACTGTATATTACTAGTGAATATTGGACCATACTATTGTTTGTGACTTTTGTAAGTGGGAGTTGTTGGGAGATAGTGTCCACAATCAGAACTACTTGATAATATTATTATTAATGGCAATGTCTTTTTAGGTTACACACAAGGACAAAAAAGAGCAATTTATCAAACAAGAGAATTACAATGATCTGGTTTGTTAATTAATTAATGGAAACTTATAGATTATCATGGGCTTAAGTGAAAAGATTTGAAAGACAAATCTTTTAGATAATTACTTGCCTTATATATAAATACCAGATAATAGGATAATTATCTAAATGGAAACCCTAATCCCATCCTATAAATAGAAGGCTTGATGGACGCTTTCCGATGATGATCCCAAGTGAAAGATTACTCTAAAGGTTGGTCAATATTCTCTCTTCTTGAAACCCCTCCCGAAGGAAGTGACGCGTCTTCCTACGGTGCATCTCAAGAACATATCAGACCTGTTGTTGCGATTTTGGTTCCAGAAGTGTCAAGTTGTTGTTTTGACTTGCTTGGGTGCGATTGCAGAAGATGAATCCTACTTTGAGTTCTGTTTATTTGTTAAATTGACAAGAAACAAGAAATCAAAAGCTTCGAAAGAATGATTATATTTCTCTCTTTGGTTGATCTATTTTGTTGTATTGATTGGTTGTACATGAGATCCATCTCTTGGTTTATGAGTTAGGGGCCATTTGATAGTTGCTTCCTGGGAAAGTGCTGTATGGGAAAGTGTTGTCTGGGAAAGTTTTCTGACTGGGAAAGAAACAATGCTGTTTGATTGTACATATGACTGACTGTGCTGAATGATGAAAAATGACCATATTACCCTGCTGTTCTATTCTGTGATGGATGAAGTTGCTGAATGATTATAAAAGCATATAAATTATCATACAAAATCAAAATTACATAATAATCATTTAAAAATCCGAATACAAATTGTCTTACAAAGTAATTAAACATAAATCAATCAAAATCCAAATAGAAACATACTGAAATTGAAAATAACATACTAATTTGCATACATCTCTAAAGTAAACCGGGTGAAAGTAGTTGATTAGCAATCTGCTCACGCAAAGTAGTCATGTATTCAACGGCTTCTGAACCCCACTCTATGCCTTGTGTGTTTTCGCCTTCAATTCCTCCACCGTGCACATCAAGATTAACCATAACGTTCTCTTCAAAATTTTCAAATAACTCATCTTGGATATTGTATTTCCTTATAAAATTATGGACCGCGACACAAGCAATGACTATGTCTCTTTGTATCGGAAAAGGATAAGGAGCCATTTGTTTTAAGATTGGGAATCTCGCCTTCAATACACCATAAGCACGCTCAATAACATTTCTAAGTTGTGCATGAGCAAGATTGAACCTTTCTTCTTTAGTTAAAGGTCGACGTCCTCGAAAATCGGCTAACCAATACCTAGTGCCACGGTACGGAGCCATGAACCCACGAGTGTTGGTATATGCGGCATCACAAATATAATATTTATCTGTAGGTGAGTGACATTTATTATATAAAGAATATAGATAATAGAATTTATATAAAGAATATAGATAAACTTATATAAATATTAGAAACCTGGTGGAGGGAATGGAAATCCGGAAGACGGATTGAATGCAACTTCTTTCAAAACTCTTGAATCATGTGCTATGCCTTCCCATCCAGCCCATACAAAGGTGAATATCATATCAAAATCACAAATTCCTAATACATTTTGATAACATTCACCTTTTCCTCTTCCCCTATACCTCGTTTGTTGATCAACGGGCACAACTGCATGTACAAGAGTTCCATCTAGTGCACCTATTGCTCCGGAAAATATAGCTTTTAACCGTCTTTGTCGTTCTGAGGCATGTCTTGTTGGATTAGGATTTGTTGGTACTATAATTTCTTTTGCAAAACACATCATTGCATTTAAGACCTCATGAAAACATTGATGAATGGTTTGTGTGGAGTGATGAAATCTTCCTTTAACCGCTCGAAAACGTTCATTATGTCCTATAACATGTAAAAACATAGCCATCTTCTCTTCAATGCTTATCGTTCTACTAGCTTGCAACCAACTCCTTTGTGACATGTCTATAATAAAAAAAAACAACAAATATAACCAAAAATCAACATGTATATACAAAAAAAAAACAGCATATAAAACCAAAAGGCAGCATACATATACAAAAAAAAACATATATAACCAAAATTCAACATTTATATACAAAAAATAGCATATAAAACCAAAATTCAGCATGCATATAAAAAAAACTGCATATATAACCAAAATTCAGCATGTATAAACAAAAAACAGCATGTATAATCAAACTTCAGCATGTGTGTACAAAAAACAGCATATATAGAACCAAATTTCTGCATTTATATACAAAAAAACAGCATATATGTTCATAATTTCAGCATGTATGTTAAAAAAACAACACATTTATAACTAAAATTCTGCATGTATATATAAAAAACAGCATTTACAATCAAAATTTTACATATATATACAAAAAAAACAGCATATATATTCATTAGTTCAGCATGTATGTTCAACAAACAACATATATGTTCACAAAAAACAACATCCTGTTCACAAAAATCAGCATATTTGAACAAAAATCAACATGTTCTAATAACCACAACATGAATGTATGCTTTAATAACCACAAAAACATGTTCTAATTTTGATTTCAACCACAAAAACAAGTATAATGCACAAATTCTAAAAAATAAGAAATCTGGAAAAAAAAAACTTGTTCACAAAAACATGTTTTGATTTTGATTTCACTCATAATTTCGAAATCAAGAAAAAAGAAAGATTAATTGAAAATCCTTGCTGATGGATCGAGAAAAAAAAAAGAAAAAGATGAGAATCTTGTTGATGGATCGACAAAAGGAGAAAACGAAACTTGTAGGGCGGAGCAGTAGGGCGACGGTGGTCTGCTTGGCGGGAGGAGGTTGGCCGGCGACGGAAGATGGATGCAATGGAAGGTGGGTAGAGTCGATGATGACCGATTGAAGATTGCAGCGACGATGTATGCGTTTTTTTTTGTTAGGGCACAAATGTCCAACGCGTCCTTCTTTTCCATTCAGACTTCTTTTTGTGGCTGTGTGGGAAAGCCCAATCTTACCGGGAAAGACGAAGTTTTTTGTGTAAAACAAACAGTCTTTCCGGCCCATTCAGCCGGAAAGATCTTTTTGGGGCTGGAAAGACACTTATCAAACAGGGCCTTACTCAATTTTAACTGTTTATGCTTCGATGTGTTTGTGTCATTGTCACCAAAAAATCCTCATAACCAGTAGAACATGTGTAGGGGTGGAAGGAGGAATAAGATAAATTTATGGGAGTGGGTGTGGGTGTGGAGCCTTTCATATTTTTATTAATAATGAAACATTAAAAAATGTAAAAAATATATTTAAAAGGTAAAATAGTTTTTTTTTTAATTTTTTTTAATTTTATTATTATTTTTTTTAAGTTTGTCAGTTAACAAACCTACGATCATAACTTTTTAAAATAATGAAATTTGCTAAATTTGAAATTATCTAGACAGTAGAGAAAACATCAAATCATATCGTCCAACGATACAAAAAAAACATATGCAACCTAGGCGAACTTAGAACTTTATACGAGTGTATTTTGTTTTTTTCGCAATAACTCGTAAATTCATATCAAAAATCAAGATTGTACTCCATTGTTAAAGCTATTACTCAAAAATATTTATTAGAACCATCAAATGTGGGCTGCAAAAATCACAGTTTTGAGTCAATTTGATCATTTGATGTGTGAACGACAATAGGAGCCCACGGACCACAAATAACATAAAACGGCCCTTGAACTTACAAGAAATGACATATTTGACCCGATACAAAGAAATGGTGCTCAGTCAACTGAATTGAAAAGAACGAACACACACTTCACAAATGAGTGACTCATCCGCCATGGCTATCCTTCTTCCATCAACTTCAGCTCTTCTTTCTCACAAGGTTAATTTTTCCACACACACAGTACTCGTATATATGTGTGTCTACGACTCTACATATCTTTACATCTAGCTTTTGCTTTTGTGATTGTTTATAGAATGCTAAGAATCAACGTTTTGTGGATTCGATTTTTCAAAACCGGAACACTAATTTACGATCTGGAATAAAATAAGCAATACGAGTATGCGCCTAATTGTGATGCAAATGTTTCTTCGAGATCTGGAATTTCAATTCCAAATCCAAAGTTAGAGAAAAATCAATTCGAAGTCTGAACTAAGTTATCCCAAACCTCGAATCACATGCTCCTAAGAATTTGGATTGATAACAATTTTTTGTTGATCGTAATCGTTAATTTATGACTGATGATAGTCGTACAGATTGGTGATTTGATTGTGGATGATAACATTAGGGTTCAGGGTATATAGACTCTTGTTATGTTGTTTGTGATCTTATACTCTGTTTTTTCGACCATGTTTAATCATGTTTTTGGCTGTTTGATTTGATTTTTAGGCGAGCCATGTTTGTATTAGCCCAAGGGTTGCAAATATACAAGTAAGGAAAAACATCATCAAAAGAGTCTTTGAAAATGGCAACACTCTCAGGCATCGTGTGATGACAAAAGCTCAAACGTCTTTAGAGGCAGTTACTGCTGAATCTATCGATGATCAGAATGGTAATCTTTCCTTCTGTCTTTAACTCCATAATTTTTACTTTATTTGATAAAAACCTGCTGTCACATCTTTCTACTAGCCTTTTCAAATAGTAAAAATTTAGGCAATTGCTTTTATTCTGTGGCTCTACTTATACAAAAGTTGGATGTGTGCAGATTTTGGAGTTGTAAATCTCCACCATGTTGGAATATTATGCGAAAACCTCGAGCGATCACTTGATTTTTACCAGAACATTTTGGGTATTATGCTTTTATATTCCTCTGCTCGAGTTCAATTCTATTGATTATTTTTCTGGTTAAAAATTAAAAACCGAACTTTTTTTTTTTTTTTTTATTTTATTAATATGATTAGGTTTGAAGATAAATGAAGCAAGACCTCATGATAAGCTTCCATACAGAGGTGCATGGCTTTGGGTTGGTTCTGAGATGATTCATTTGATGGAACTTCCAAATCCCGACCCTTACACAGGTCGCCCTGAGCATGGGGGACGAGATCGTCACACTTGCATTGCCATTCGCGATGTCTTAAAACTAAAAGCTATTCTTGATAAAGCTGGTAATTCTTCAATCTCCATTCTTCAAAAGGTTAAATGCAAGAAATAGCAATGTACTTCCATTGTTTTGTTTATTATAGCATCCTACTTTTAATTTCCTTTTAAGAAAGAAAAAAATTGAAAGTGGGTAGAGTTTTGAAAATAGAAGTAGAATGTTGTAATAGAAAGAAATGAAAGTATGATGTTATAATACACAAAGTAATAAAAATATGTTGCTATTTGTTAACATCTCAGGTATTCCCTATACTCTTAGCCGATCTGGAAGACCAGCAATCTTTACAAGAGACCCGGATACCAATGCACTGGAATTCACACAAATTGATTCACCCTGAACAATTTTATCATATATGTAGATATGAAGTACAAACGTTTATACTCTCTCCAAAAGATTGATGTGAATATTAGGTTAATTAAATCTCCATAAAAGAACATATGTATTTTTATTAATTCTATGAATCTAATAATTGATATAAAGTCGGTGATTTGGTTGTTCATGTTTCTGAAAGTATGTATGTACCAAACACATCATAATTACAATTTACAACTGAAAAAATTATAGAGAGTATGTAATAAATCAGAAGTTGAGAAATGTTTCATTTCATGCTGAATTTTTTGAGTTTGAGGCTGTTGAAAGTAATCTCCAGTCTTGTATGGCTGAGCGCAATGTGTGGTTGGGAGTTAATGTTTTGTGTTTTAGGCGACGCTTTGTGACTGGTGATTCGTTTTGTCTTTCAAGCCATATCTTTATAGCTCTATGTTCGTATGTAAAACCATCAGCAGCAATATGAGGATCATTCATGACTTCCTGGATTGTCAAATTGCAATTGGAGTGAGGTTATAGTAGATAAGTGTTTTTGGTATATGATAGAATGGAATCACAAAGATAAGGAATGATCAAAGTAATCAGATGAGGTATGTATTGATCATTACATATGGTTATCATGTTAGATTGACTTGAAAGGATGAAATGAATTATTTAAACATGTTCTATATATAAATTAACAAACTACATTAAATTATATTGATGAATTAAGAAAAAAGTTATTTAATAGTATTAAACTTTAATTAGGATCAATTACATCCAAGTATATAGCATGTTGTTTGAAATATATACTATAACGTATTTCAAAAAGTCAAAAAAGTTTTATTTATCACTTACAAAATTGTCTACAATATAAATTTTTTTAAGAAATTTAAATTCCATGAAATCTTAAAATAGAATTATAATCAAAATGTATTTTTAGTTACTGTTAGAAATTTAAAAAATAACTTTATTAAAGTTTTGATTTTTTTTTCAAAAACATTATTGCTATTGAGCGATTAAATGAATAAAAGTAATACTATATCATTCCATGACATCAACGAATGAAAAGAAACAGATAACCTAATGCAACGAAAATCAGCTAAGAATCATATTCCTTGAGGAATGATCCATTCCATCCTAACATGGCAAACAAACAAGATTTTTGGTTTGAGAGATTAGTCTATGTAATTGTAACAATTTATGATGTCTCTATGGAGGCCCATGGGTTTTCTCCAGTTTTGAAGCTTACCACGTATATTCTTGTGTTCATATTTCTCTATTATTTTTCATCGGACGGGGGTTTGTAAATCTTTGAAACCATTTTCCCCAACAATGACAACAAAAATGTAAGAGAGAAAGTAAACAAACATTGTCATACCTGGACGATTGGACAATAGAAATGACTAGGAACATCATTGTTGTTTCCCCCAACCTTCCTACTAGTATCACCAACTTCACAAAGCTTCTTCAAAACCGGAAGTATCTCCGTATCAAGATCCGGTCTATCCCTACATCTAGGACTACAACACTTAAGACCTAACAAAGCCAATTCTTCCGCTTCCATTAATGGCCAATCACTTATCGAATCATCCAACACATCAACCAAATTCCCACGAGAAACCGCCAACTCAACTTTCTCAATAATCCCCTTCGGGTTAAGCAAAGTCAACAACTGCAAGATTATAATCCCAAAAGCATATAAATCCGATTTAGGTCGAACCGTACCCGTTCTATGATACTCCGGATCAATATAATACATGGTCCCCGCAAGAATCGAATCTTTATACTCCGTGACATTATCCGGTACCATATCCGTAATAAGTTTTGCCATTCCTACATCGCCAATTTTGCTCACGAAATTTCGGTCAAGTAAAATGTTTCCCGGTTTTAAATCACGGTGTACTATAGGGTCGGGTTTTGAGTTATGTAAAAATGCTAGCGCACATGCAACTTCAAATAGTACACGAAAACGCGTGGACCATGGAAGATGGTGTTTGGTGGTTTTTTGGTAGATGTGGTCTTCGAGGCTTCCGTTTTCCATGTATTCGTATAGTAAGCAGCCTCTTTCGGGACATGCTCCGAGAAGTTGTAGTATATGTGGATGGCTTAGTTGACTTAGAACCTCAATCTGTTCAAAAAAATGGTGTAAATCGTGTAATGATGTGAGAAATGAGTTTTTCTTACAAAATACAAAACATTAAGATTCTCGAAGAAAAACCTCTTTTAGGAACTCGCGTTTCTTTTCGGATGTATCTGACCAAAGAACTTTAATGGCTACAGTGGTATGGTCTATATTACATTTGTAGACTTTACCATAGGCTCCTTCACCTACAACTTTTGATTTTGAGAAGGAATCTGTTGCTAATTCAATCTCGTTGATTGTGTATCTTCTGTAACGTTTGTCATTGTTATTAAATAATGCTTCAACAATCTGTTGTTTCTCGGAGGATTCCTTCATGGCTTTTATTTCTGCTATTTCTCTTTCGTAAGCCTCTATTGCTAACATGTTTCTTGCAATTTCAACTTCTTTAATTGCTTCCAGATGTTTTTCTTTCTCTTCAGCTGCAATTTTCCGGAATTTCTCTCCACGTTGTACTGAAGAATGAATTCTATTGGCATCTTCTTTGCTATCAAATGAAAGCATTTGGACCTGTATATAGTAACAACCTCAAAGAGTAATAATTAAATGAAATCATTTTTAAATTCCTTTACAACACTAACCTTGTTTTGGGTGTGAACCAGTTCATCACAAGCTTGATTGTACAGGTTTACAGCATGTCTTAACTCGAGTCGGAGTTTTTCAACTTCAGCATGCAAGTTTGACTACAAAATAAGAACACAAACAGTCAAATTAACAACTCAAAAAACAATATAAAGTTAGAAATTAAACAATGTCTTTATTGTAAAAACAAAATCTATCAAAAACCTTATCTGAAAATGTTGAAGACACAGAACTTCCATTTTGCAAAATCACATCACCAAATGTTCTTCGGGAACTACCCCTTTCATCAGTAGCAGACATTATTGAAACTTTCTCATGGTTTGATGCCACAGATGATGTTTCAAGTGTACTACTTTTGATTTTGAATTCATTAGAAGAAGAACAAAGGGAACACCATAGTTTATTCATGCCACAAGACAGTTGATGGCTGGAACTGCTGTCTGTAATTCATAATCTATTAGAAATGAAATTGTTTTGAGTTTTTAATTAAGTGAAGCATGGTTACCTGAATTGGAAATGAGTCCATGTCTAGATACAATGTATATATTGCATGTTTTTGGAGCTTGTTTTAGAACATCCAAGGGTACTTCTTCTCCATATAGTTTCCTAAAATGGAAAGTTAGAAGTTAGAACTTATAAGTTATAAGAATATAATTTTGTGCAAAAGAATTATTCTTTCAGCAATCCCTAAGCCGGCCCATGTGGGTCCGACCCATGAGCATCATGTGAAAGATAAATCAGGTACACAGTGGCCCACTAGCTGGCTGACATAAATGCAAATATGGCATTTAAGAATATAATTCGTAAAAGGCATTAAAAGTGGAATAAAATATTGTTAGTAAACCTTGTGAGCCAATTGGATGAGCAAGAACCAAGAACCAAACTATTGATCCCTGACATGGATGCATACTCTACAAGCCCTGATGCAGGATTATCCCCTTCCACCACCATTGTTTCTATCTGGAAATTACAGTTTTAAGTATGATATGTCAAAAAGATTGGTTTAAGTCTTTATAAGAACTTAAGATCATAGGTCAATTATTATAAAAAACCTTTTTGCCTTTGCATAGTTTCTTGAATGGTATAAATAGTTCTTCGATCTGTGATTTCATGTCTTCTACATACATGGCCACTACATTAGCATCCAGTTCGTCAATAGGGATGTGATTTCCTGCTGAAAGAATGATAAATGCTCATGAATACAAGTGCAAGAGTTGTAGTTGTTTACCTTTCTACAAAATGAAACCTCTTTTTTTCCAAAATTCTATAAAGATATTGGTTGTTCCTAAGTCCTAACAACGCATACTTACAACTATTTAATCGATCTATAGGCCTAACTTAGATCGCCCATTCCAAAATTACGGGATCCGTGGAAATAGACCAATTCATATCAGCATATAGACCTCAATTCAACAAATCGTCTTAGGACTCTTACTTTTTTGGCTAATTTTTTAAGAGGAATGCTAGAATAACTACATCATTAACCTAATAATTATGTCAATTACACGATCATTCATATTTTCACCAGAGTTCACTTATCAGAGAGTTACGACGACATGTAACCCAGTTTGTAGCAAATCAACTCAACAACAAACCCTAAATTTTGCACAATTAGCAAGAAGTTAATAAATTCAAGGCGTTATGCGGAATTATGGGAAAACATTTGATCAGTAAAATTCGTCGAATCTTATGAGAGAGAGAGAGAGAGAGAGAGAGAGAGAGAGAGTACATGGAGTAGGGATCGAAGTGATGTTCGGAATAACGTGAATTAGGATGAAACGATCGGCTTTCTGAAACAGATTCTCCACTGCCCATCGTACAGCTCTTCTACTGCCTTTGCCGCCAATTCCTCCAGTATTACCACCACCCTTCACGGCCACAGCCACCACCACCGCCGACGGAGCACCAGCACGGTCTACAGTACTTGTTGACTCCATATCCGCTCAAATGAAGAGAATTTCAGAATATCCACAGAAATATAGTTTGACTTCCATTTCAGTATTCTGCGGAAGAAAACGACGACTTCCAACAACCTTTTTCTGATAAAACAGAATATACGGTTTACTCCCTTTCTATTTGCCTATATATTATCCCTTTTTTTTTTTTTTTTTTTTTTCAACTAGTATTTGAGCACGCATTTTGCCATGGGTTTTTAAGTTCAATTTTCTTGCACATTAGCCATGAGAATCGATTAAATCGGTATACCATATCACAACTTCAAAAAATACTAAAAAGGTTCAAAAAAATGAATGTTGGATGATATCAAAAGTTGAGTAAACTTAAGGGACTATTTTTGTAAGTTTATGATTTTTTAATAATCCATAAAAAAAAGTAAGGGCATAAGCGGAAGTAGAGAGTGAAAATCATATATATATCTATTCCTAATAAAAGACTCCTTAAACTGCCACGTGTCACCATTACAGTCCTCACTGTTTCCACGTGTCCTCTTTTAATTTACCCAAATTATGTTTTCCCGCTCATTTACCTTTCCTTTGTTAACAATGTCATCCCAAAAAATCAGGAATCCAAATTTAAAACCTGGCTGTCATCCCAATAAATCAGGAATCCTAATTCATTTCTAAATCTCTATATTTGTACTATGCGATTCCATTTACACCTTTCAAAAATCAACAATCAACATCCACAAATTGACCCATTCCGATTTTGAAACGGCTTCAATTTTCGTTGTTGTCTTCTTCATGTACTGAATGTGTTAATCTGTAGTTTTTTTTGGGTTCAGAATTTTCTCGATCAGGGGGAAGGTATTGCTTCTAAGGTTATCGACACCATCTACAATTTCCATGATTTTCCAAAAAAAAAAATACCAGGTAAGTAACTCTCTTTTTTCTGATACATGATCCTCTCGATTCTCTTTTTAGTTGAGATTCATAGACTAAAATCTCCTATCGGAATCAATCAATACATTTATCTATTAACTCACACTTAATCCTTGAAGACAAGGTGTTTGTTGAAATGCTAGACTAAAAATTAACTTTGTTGGACTACAATCTTCCTGCTCAGCATGAACCTCGAATGAATCTCAGGTTCCACTTCTGATTTACTGTTAATATCTTATGCATCCAATATTTATTTTCACAACTTGCACCCTTTTCCTATAATTCTAAACGTACAAACAATGAAGTTGAAAGGAAATTTTAATGGCAAGTAGGAAGTTGGTATTCTTGGCATCTTATACATGAAAGTCACTCAAGGAATCTTGCAACGAGATTTTATGCTGGACCATTTTGCCCTTGGTTTGCAATCTGTTTATTACATGAGGGGCTGATTTCTCTACAAAAGGGAATTGTTTCCGGCTTCTACATAATGATAGGCCCTTTTGTTTTTGCTTAAATTATGAATGTGGTAGACTATACCCAGATAGTTGATTTCATTATCCCTCTTTCATCATCTTCTGCACAATATTTGTTACACATTTACAAGATTTGGAGTGCTGACTACACCTAAAAAAATTGACTTCATTAATCCACTCCTTATGCCCCTGTTTTCAATCTTGATTGCTTACTTTTATGTCATAAATCTAATATTTTTAAAGGGTTTCATGTGAACATATGACAAGAAGTTCAGCTAGAAAAGGTTATTTTTGGTATTTTATAAATTAAGTTAAAATGTTATAACCAGCCTAATAAAACCTGCAAAACATAGGATATGTCCCAATTCTTACAACCAAAAGGGCCAAAACCTGTTTTGAGTTATTAGCTATCTTCTTACTTTCTTGGGAAACCTCTTAGGTGATATAAGATAGAGAATAAATTTGGAATGTCCCCTGTCAAAATTTGCCAGCTCATTTACATATTTGTACTTCAAATATCATAAAGTTGTAATCTTTGCATACAAAAACTGAGCAGGATTATGATGAATTTTGACGGTATTTATCTCTATTAATTTTTGGAATGTATGCTTCATGTATATCATTTTTCCCAATGGTAATTTTCGATTGATCAAGTCAAATTTTGTAACTTAAAGAGATCTAACTATTATAAACCAGGGAGTACATCTTTAGTATATAGCTGTTACTTATCCAACCAATGGCAGGTATAATCAATAATATAGGAGAATTATTCGTGTTGCAGTGCTAAATCAGACGTTATAATCAATAATGTGTAGAGACTAGAGAGTAGAGAGTATCAGTTCCTATTTTTGATTTTTGTTTAAGAATGACTTCTATGTTAAAACTTTAATTTATCTGCTTTTCTCAATTCCTCCACCATTAATTGTAAGAAACTTCAATTAATTTTGTTAAATGGATCTGAATTTCATGTTTTTCAATATTACTTTGTTATGTCATCCAGCTATAAGCTAAGAATCTTCCTTTTAGATAGAATTCATATTGCATATTGTATATTGCATGGTTTAAGTTATCGTAAGTACCGTGAGGTTCTATTTCTTGAGTGACATTGCAAATCTTATTATTTTTCTTTAAATATATATTTAGATCAGGTTTTTGGGCCTACAACCACTACACATCATGTGTATGATATTGCACCCCAACATGTTGTTAGTAGTGCTATGGAAGGCATTAATGGTATGTTATCTTTTCTCATCTCACAACATCTTCAATTAAGTACTATGTTATGGATCAACGAAGCGGCCAATTTTTGCTCTTTTTAATAGTAAAATGGGCTCTATTTTTTTGCCATGGAGAAAGTAAATTTTTTTTGGATTTTGAAACTGTGTTTCTTTCTGTACTTGACTCATGGAACATGTATTCTTTGTGGTTTAAGGTTCACCTTTACTCATTGATTTTGTTTCAAAAAGTCTTAACCATTATTCTCATTAGGGACTTAGAGAGCTAATAAATCTTGGATGTAGGAAATAATTTCTTTAAATGAATGGTTGTGGGAAATAAGTCAATAACTATATTAGCATCTTAACGGATGTAGGAAATATATATATATATATATATATATATATATATATATATATATATATATATATATATTATATATATATATCCCTACTTCTAATAAAAGACTCTAACTTTGTCTACGTGTTAATTTCTTATAATTTACAATTATTTTGCACATACATTCTAAAAATTACACGTGTACTCTTGTGCTTACTTTCCCGCTCATTCACTCCATTATCTCTCAAAATCTCCCGTCTCGGCGCAATTCTTGCTCAGTCACATTTTATTATCCCGAAATCATCGTGAAGCTCAATATTGAAATCCCTATTTCTCCTCGCTAAATTATCTTCTCATCACCTCCACCATAATTGTGTACCTAACCTCTTCTTTATTTCTTATTTCATGCTAAGGAGACTATACAGTTTGATTTTTGTTTCCCATTAAAACCCTAGCCCCTTATTTGCTTATCACATCCCCTAAATAGTAGGATTTAAGTTTTTTGAAATTTGAATTCTCTTTACCTCTTTTGAAATCACATCGAACACTTTCTCTCTTAATCGTTCTCCTCCCGCCCACAACTTAAAACCCTAAACAGGGTCTTGATGAAGGCCATTAATGGAGTGTTTTTTTTATCATGATACAGGCCACGCAAGCCATGAAATTTTGGATGAAGACAAGTTATCGACCTGGGTAAACTTTCTTCAGTTTTGGCTGTTTTTTCTTATGGTTTTGCTTCTATGTTTTTGTTTAGCTTCGATTTAATGTCCATGTTTCGATTTTGTTGCTTCCAATTAATGCCCTAGATTGATAAAAGTCCATTTTGTTGCAGTTTTTCAAATCTTTAAATAAGTTTTAGATCTTGATATTGATGCGTGAAGAAGAACATGGCTAAGGAACAAGAAAAACGAATCAGGCCTGTGTTGATTCGTCTTTATATATCTTAGCAACAAACTTTCCCCATGAAAACAAGATTATAGAATGATGTTTCTTTACAAGTTCTTGTGCTTCCTCTTATAATTGATATTGATGAGCTTAATAGTGATACGTTGGCTCGATTATGCAAGATATTGGATGACCATTTGAGAGACCAAAAAAATAATGCAAAAGCAGAGCCTTGTGTCATTGAGGTAATTTATATATTTTTTATTCACCCTTCTAATTTCTAAAGATGTGGAAGGCAAACAGTTTTTTTTTTTTTTTTTTTTTTTTGCAGCTGTTACATGAGCTAAGGCTTAAGAGTTCAACAATGCAACTGATTTTTGTCTGTCACAATCATGGGTATTTGGAACCGGTAATCAGTTGTTTAATATATTACATGAAATGACTTGTGGAGGAGAATATAAATATTGTTGGGAATGAACCCTATTACAATTTATACTCCAGATGAAAAATGAACATGAACAAACAAGAACAATGACATGGGGAGAGAACGTCATCAAGAACCTCAATTGATAACCGAGTAACTCACTTTTTCTATGACTAAATGTAAAATATTATATAATTCTTTATCTTTACTCTACAATAAGAGAATATAAGTTCCAGCACAATTTTCCATATGACAGCTATTGATTCTGTTTCAACTCTATTCCCCCCCCCCCATATATATAACGCTATTACTGGCAATTCCTTCTCAAAAGTGAATCTAAATAGCTTTATACCTTCTCATTTAATTTCATATGCCATTTTATATGCATAATTCTGGTTGCTTTTGTAACTGATTTAGTTTGCAGATCAATTTTTATTGATGCATCTCGATCAATTCAATTCTCAAATTTTGAATTCTGACTATAAGTTACTGATATAAAATCATTGATATCTTTCATTCGAAATCATCAATTGTACGTATTTGTTTCTTGATCACCAATAGGTAGGTATCAGGTCGCCAATTGATTTTCTGATGAATAAATGTCTGTCTTCCATATTTTTGCTTGCTTGAAAAAATAGCAATTTGAAGGATACATGGTCTCATTTTATGGTTGTAAGTTTGGTTACAATTCAACTGACTTTGTGGAAATGGCATGTTAAGTAGCAGGTCTTCTGATGTTAAAGTTATTGAGCAGTCAACTAAAAAAGAAAACAAGATTTGGGTGACTAGATGAAAGGAAAAAAGGTTCACAGACTTGTATTTATCCCATATGGGTTGTAGAAGCAAAAATTGAAAGTTTATTTTTTATAAA